ACTCTCTAAAGCGAGAGGAGACCTAGCTACACTCAACGCCATAGGCAGTTAGTGAGGCTCAAAAGAAAGAGCCTACAATTCATATTACTGCCTAAGCGGAGCTCCGGGGAGCGGAGGCTTCAGCAAGACGACTCTCTTAAACGAGAGGAAACCTAACAACGCTCAACCCTAGTAGAGAAGCTCCTAGATCTCAGCATGACGACCCTCTAAAACGAGAGGAGACCCAAGTACACTCAGTGCTAGAGACAGTTCACGCAGCTCACCAAAGAACCTTCAAACTATTAGTACTGCCTAAGCGGAGCTCTGGAGAGCGGAGGTTTGAGAAGAATGACTCTCTTAACCGAGAGGAAGCCTAACAACACTCAACCCTGGTAGGGGGGCTCTTAAGAGTGGAAGTCTCAGCATAACGACTCTCTAAAACGAGAGGAGACCTAACTACACTCAATGCCAGAGGCAGTTAGGGAGGCTTAAAAGGAAAACACCTACGAACTCATATCACTGCCTAAGTGGAGCTCTGGAGAGCGGAGGCTTCAGCAGAAAGGGCATTGTCGTTTTTTCATTTCATGCTTCAGACACCGGTCACGCTGAAGGCGTTCCCCTAGCGCCCTCTAGAGGATGCAGCGTGGAGTTCCCTTTCGAAAGGGAACTGCATGTTTCCATTCAAATTTTTATTTTTTTTTGATGACAAACATTTTTTTGTGCATATTAAGAAATAGGCTTTCAAAAATAAATCTTGTCAGTTTTGTATATTAGGGTTGTGTGTTACACCTAATCTTGTTCAATTAATGTTTATTGCATTATTTCAGTTTCATGTGTGTTACCATGATGGTGTTTAGTGTTTGTGTGTATGACACTGTGCAACTATTATATATGTTATTATTTAATAGCTGCTTGTGATGGGCTTTGGTTCATCATGTGACTTTCTCATCACCACCTGCATTTGGTGGTTATCAGTGTATTACAAAGGTACAAAACAGGTGCTGAAACAGTACTTCAATAGGTTTTTTTACCGTAAATTTTACGGATTTTTTTTAACAGTGTACCCTGAGAAATGTTCTCTGGAGTAAAAGTGTGGCTACTAGGCCCTTTTGTTAAAATGATCTCAGACTCACACTGATTGCTATTTATTGTGGAATATATTCTATAGGCCTATACAAATATATTGGACTTCACTTCTTCATAATACTGTCTATAATATACGCCTCTCTTTATCCAAGCATATGCAGGACTTTTGTAATACCCCCACGGTGGTTTCACAAACTATTTCTCTCTTGAAATGTGGAATTATCGACATGTTAATTCTTAGCACTGGCCCATAGTTCCCAATTGCATTATTAATAGAAGAGAATAATGTGCATTTTCTCTAAAGAGACATGTCTGCCTAATGGTTGTATAATTTGTCTGATATCAAGACGTTTTACTTATTAGTCTGGTTTCCTGTTGTGCTTGCTGTGTCTTGGCTCATTGCACTGTATTAGATGGTAGATTGCTAATAGTTGAGAAGAGTCCTGAGAGAGGAGACGGCAATGCTACCTAAAAAAACTAGGGTAGATAATCAGCCTCTTTGTCTACCGACTGGTTAAATTGATTTTCTGAGGGAAAACAGCTTGTGCGTGAAATACCCTTGTGTGCGCACACACACACACACACACACACACACACAGACAGACAGACAGAGTTCCAGGATGAAACCAGAAGAGCTGCATGTGGGGCTAAAACAGTTACAAGAATGCTTTTGAATTCCTTGTTAAACTTTCTTCAGGCTTAATGTCTAAAGAGACTAGTTTTTTATGTTTTAGACAGTTTATTTAACAAAGAGCCTTTCTTGTGAGAATCAACAAGGGATGGTTTTTAATCAGAGCATAAATATTCTATGATTTTATGTATTACATGTAATTCTCCTCCTGTATCAAATATCTGATGTATATCTTTAACCTAGATTTTAACATTAATTTAATTGTATTTTATTTTTGAGGTCCACTTATGATGTTAGTAGTAAAGTTATAATTTCATCAAGATTTTTGTGACAAAATCAGTCAGAATTTAGTTTTTTGTGGATGGAATGACCCTTAAAAAAGTTTGATAAGGGGTCAGTCCGATAATGAGGAATTAATAATGATAATAATAATAATAATAATAATAATAATAAAATATTTCGAATTTAGTTTTTCATGAATGGAATGAAAAATAAAATAAATACATACATACATGCATACAAAGTTTGAAGAGGAGTCAATCCGTTCATGAGAAATTAAATTAGGACTGATTTTGTTAAGTTTTCTTTTATAAAAGTATAAGAATTATAAGAAAATTTGAATTATTAAGAAATTGTTTTGAACTGCTGGATTACATCATGGCAAAGTCAAAAAAACGTGATAGAATGTTAATAAGTTGCACAGGTATAAAACAAGCCATTATTGCAGTTTAGTTTCATTACACACAGTATGTACAATTTGAATGCTTTTATCTCTGAAGAAAATTTGGTTGTTCATGATATGACCCCTTGAATGTCATTGAAATAAAAATGAACTATGCATGTGTGACACCAAAAGAGAAGTGTAAAGATGGCTGTCTCTCTGTGGATCATGCTGTGGTCACATCTGTCCATGCAGTGGAGCAGCAGACGGTCAGAACCCTTGCAGAGAAGCCTAAACCTCCAACAGCTGGGTCAGATTGAACTTGCCACTCATCAAATTAACACAGATTTGATGGACTGTGCATTTAATACTTTTGCTGCTTAACTGCTCTGGGGTGCATTTCCCAAAAGCATCGTTATCTAACTATGGTAGTTCGTTCCATTGAAATATATTGGTAATGACGGAACTTGCGACCATAGTTGCTTTTGGGAAACGCACCAATGCACGGCACGGTTTTGCAAATATCAGTTCTCTGAGAATAATAATATTCAGGAGTTCACTGGTGTGGGGTACTTTGTGTGTTAGTCACTGCTGATTTGTGTATGTGTGCAGTTTAATTAAATGCAAATACTATTGATTTGTCGAGGCTTTGTGGTGGAATTATATAATTCAATCCACTGCCCTTTGCGACAAGATAATGCTCACTATAAAACTGAGTAGTTTGCTGGCCTAGGATCAGTTTCTACAACCCAAATCCAAACATTAACTATTAGTGAGATTGGATGGATAGAAGAAAGGAAGATAAATAGAAAAAAAGTTTAAACAGCCTTGAAGATTGAAGATAGATAAACAAATAGACAGCCAGATGGATTAGGGAATGAACAACAGAACAAACAATATATTGAATGATAGAGTGATAAATGGATAGAATGACAGATAGATAGAACAATATAAAGATAGAACGACTGATTTAATGATAGCTAGAATAAACAAACGATAGATAGATAGACAGACAGACAGACAGACAGACAGACAGACAGATAGATAGATAGATAGATAGATAGATAGATAGATAGATAGATAGATAGATAGATAGATAGATAGATAGATAGATAGATAGATAGATAGATAGATAGATAGATAGATAGATAGATAGATAGATAGATAGATAGATAGATAGATAGATAGATAGATAGATAGATAGATAGATAGATAGATAGATAGATAGATAGATAGATAGATAGATAGATAGATAGATAGATAGATAGAATGAACAACAGAACAGTTGATGGATGGATGGAGATGGATAGATGGATGGATGATGGAATGAACAACAGAACAGACGATAGCTAGATAGCTAGATAGATAGTAGATAGATAGATAGATAGATAGATAGATAGATAGATAGATAGATAGATAGATAGATAGATAGATAGATAGATAGATAGATAGATAGATAGATAGACTAAACCCTTCTGCCGATAGAGAAAGAAAAACAAGCTGAAAAGGCAGGAAAAATCCTTGAAGCACTGGGAAAAAACCTCAAACTTAAGCATTTGCATTTTATGTTGTGATCAAATATGAGCTTATGTAATGAACCAGATTTTCTACTGTGAGGACTGAATGTGTCCCATCCAGCTCATGCAGCCGAGCATATTCTGGACAAATAAAAATATACATAAATATCAATACGAGATGATGTTGTAGTGGTTGTCATCTTTGTATATCTACCATAATAATAACAATGATTCATCACTGGCTGCCTTGTACAAACTAAATTTATGTGCCATCTTGAAACTAATAAATATCTGCAAATCATTTATGGAGGGTGATTTGTTTGATGCATCTGCCAGACTAGAAAGAAATTAATCAATAATGCTTTATTAAGCATAATGACTGAAATCAATCAAGTATTTGAAATAGCCTAAAACAAAACAGGAACAAAAATTTTATAAATTCCATAAAACTAAGCTGGAAAGACACTTGAGTAAAGAGGAAGCTACTGTTTTGTTACACTCTGAGTGAGCAGACATGCTGAAAATCACCTATCAAGCAGTCAAACAACCTTAACACATGATTACACACAAACACATATGTTCACAACGTCTGAGAGTCTCTCTTCTACTCTGATCTCTCTTGCTGTCATTTCTTCAAGTAATCTTTTCACTCCAATAGTTTTCTGTTATCAGCTCTGCCCTCAATTTAAACACTCCCTCTGTAAGAGTCTCTCATCATTTCAAAGTCAAACTCATTCGTCATTACATTGATCTTGATTGTGTGTGTGTGTGTGTGTGTGTGTGTGTGATTGTGTATCTCAGAATGTATATGTGAGTTGGATATCTGTGTTTATCATGCATACTGTATGTATCTATTGTTTGTTCTGCTGTTCATTACATTCATATCTTTCTATTGTTCTATATGCATTGTTTGTTCTTTTGTTCCTTCCTTCCTTCCATCCATCCATCCATCCATGCATCCTTCTATCTGTCATTCTGTTATTCTATCAATTATTGCAGATTTAGATATCAGTACAGTCTCAGGGACTGTAAATGTGATCAGTGGCACATATGATTAGAAACGATCATTCGGTCTCAGATTGAGGTTCAGATGCTTGGCTGGCTGTCGTGGACAGAACAGTGAGTTGGCAAACACTCACTCCGGACACACACAGCTGGTTTGTCCAAAACAACAGGACAAACAGAGGATAAAAACTAGCGAAACAGCAGAACAGATTCAGATAGGGAACTCAGCATCTCCCCAGGTCATCAATCACCCCTTATGGGGTTTAAATAAGCGACCTGTGGGTTACCAGACCAGAGCTGCAACTGCTTCTACCTCCCAACACGTGGGTCACTACTGTATGAGTTCATTTAAATACTGTTCAGCTTATTTAAATACTGTATTAGGTCTGTAGCACAATGTCTTACATATTGAAGTTCATATTGCCTCTCTGCTCCTTTGCTGCATCTTCTTGGCTTATTGCCTTGATCTTATCTGCCTGTATCTCATGGATTTTAGCTTGCAGTATCAGATAAGAACAGAGAAGCGTTAATCCACAGAAAGATAGCAGAGTGAGCGGGTGGAGAGGAATATAACCTCAGGCCTTGAGCTCTAATTCTTCAGTAATTGGAGGACTACTGCGCTCTTAGCTGTTCTAATGCTAGCCGAAGCAAAGCCCATCTATGATCTCCACATACACCTCTAAGAACTAACAACTGGATTTTTCACATCATAGATGCTGCAATATAATGATGAAAAGATGCAATGATCTGGACTAATGAAAATAATATATATATATATTTTTTTTAATTAAACATTACACTGAACATAACAATTTGAGTTAAACTAAAGAACTCAACTAAATGAAATATAAACATGAATTTCTTAATGTTTGTTGTTCCCCTTTTGCTTTAATGACAGCCAGGTTATGCATCATTAAGAATCGAACTGCATTTAAAGTTCCAGATCTATTCCTGAATTTGAATTGAGATAGAAAACTGAATTGCAATTAAAATGTAAATGTAAGGAAGTAAAATGGAAACCAACTAGACAAGCAGATAATAGATAGATAGATAGATAGATGGGTTGCTAGAAACGACATAATTCCTCATCATATTTAAGTGTTATTTAAAATGTTATTTAAATCCTAATATTTTCTGTTTATTTCCAGGTTTAAGTGAAATTTTCAATCTCAGTCTGACCCCACTTTCTTGGATGTAATAATTTTATTTTTCGACAAAGAGGGACATTGTGTTGAATTAGCTGTTCAGTGCATCAAAAAAAAATAGAAACAAGGAGTCCTTCAAATGAAGGTGTGTTGCAAAGAGACGTGATTGGGAGCTCACAGCATACTGTGCTTTAGCTTGGATGCTTGTCAAGGAAAAGTCCCAGTTACCTCCATTTCTGTCAGCCTCACCGTGAGGGTCCTAATGGACTCTCCAGAGCTTTTGTGCCTCTGGTTGCAAAAGTAATCATCTACAGCAGACTGCGGACAGCTGCTTGTGTGAAGGTCTGAATGTAGGTGTGAGGTTAGCCCATATGTCTGAGTGTGTGTCTATTGAAGAGTCTGATTCTAGAGGTATTGTACTGTATGCATGTGTGACGGTGGGTGGAAGAAAGTGTTATCAGAGTGTTTAGTATTAGCTCATTGACTTTAGCTTTACATCAGAAGTTCACAGGCGCTTTGTTCCATCTGTGCTCCAATCATCAGGTTCAAGGTCAAGGTTTATTTATATAGCACCTTAAAAACAACACAGATGTTGACCAAAGAGCAAAAGACACACATAATAAAACAGAACACAACAAATAGTTGATCTGATAACTTGAAGAGTAATAAAACAAAAGTTTTAACATAATAGTTAAAAATAGACGTAACCTGCTACATCACAAGCTGCTACCTCAGGCATTAGAGAAATACATATGAGAATAAAACCAAGTTATGAGTAAGCCTGAGAAAAAAAGATGTGCTTTAATTGATGCTTTAAAAACAGTTAATGTAGGGGAAACACTAATCATTAGGGGTAGTGTGTTCCAAAGTTTTGGAGCATAGACTGAAAAAGACCTGTCTCCTTTAGTTTTCAGACGGGATTTTGGGACATTTAGTAACAGCTGGACTGAAGATCTGAGTGATCTCTGAGGAGAATACAAACTTAAAAGTTCTGATATATAAGTAGGGGCAAGTCCATGTAGAGCTCCATGTAGAATCATTAGGGGTAGTGTGTTCCAAAGTTTTGGAGCATAGACTGAAAAAGACCTGTCTCCTTTAGTTTTCAGACGGGATTTTGGGACATTTAGTAACAGCTGGACTGAAGATCTGAGTGATCTCTGAGGAGAATACAAACTTAAAAGTTCTGATATATAAGTAGGGGCAAGTCCATGTAGAGCTTTAAACACATACATTAAAACCTTAAAATCAATTCTTTGTTTCACTGGGAGCCAATGGAGAGAGGCCTGGATAGGTCAAACATGTTCCCTCTTTTTTGTCCCAGTCAGAAAGTGAGCTGCAGCATTTTGGACTAAATGTAATGGTGAGAGTAATGACTGACTGATTCCAGCATACAAGGCATTACAGTAATCAAGCCTTGAGGAGATAAAAGCGTTCTCAGAAAGAGCAAAGCTCCAGCTTGGATGCCCACGGTCTTACTGACAGAACCCTTGATCTACAGAGCACTGCAGAGTACAATAGATCTGAGGACCAGCACTTAGCGTAAAACTGTAGAAAGCAGCAGTTTGCAATATCTGAAACAGCATCTATACTAATACTGCATTCCGTTTTAACTCCGTAAGCTGTAATTTCCAGTTTTATACAAGTGTGATACAACATCACTTAAAGTCAGACTTCCAACTTGTGCATTTCTGCACAGTTGCACAAGTTGGAAGTCTGACATTAAGTATTTTTGTTGTTGTTGTTGTTATTATATATTTTTTTAGATACTGGCCACAAAATGAGATGCAATTTGAAGCATTTCAGTGACTCGCTATACTGACAGATCTACCTGCAGAAATAATGAGGCTGTTGAGAACAACTTGCCAGTTAACACATAAAAGAAGTAGACTCTTTCTCCCAAGCCTTTATTAGAATTGATTTCAAATATTTAGCAGGGAGAATATTCTTATAATTTTTTTTAGCAAGAAACTAATTACCTCTGTTCCAAAGCCTACAGCATTGAGGTGACTTGCTGTCCACTGCCTACGTAAGGCAGCTACATTTTAAGATTTACATTGCTATGCAACAACAATTACTGCACACACAATTCATTTTTTAAATAGAGTTTAGTGTTAACATGTTGCTAAGCTGAAGCTGCAATTATTTACATTTATGCATTTGGCAGACGCTTTTATCCAAAGTGACTTACATTCAAGGTGCATTTAAAAAAAAAAATCAAACCCATGACTTTGATGTTGCTAGCGGCTTGCTCTACTCTTTAAGCTACAGAAAGGCAATTCTTAAATAAGCATAACAATTGATCAAAGCACACAAATATTGATTACAATAGTATTTTTGTTTATTATTTAATGACAGCCAGGGTTATACACCATTCAGAATTGAATTAAGAATGCCTTTTAAAGTTCCACTTCAGTTCCTGAATTTGAATTAAGATAGAAAACTGAACTGCATTTCAAACTGGAATGTAAGGAAGTACAATAACAATTAATTAGACAAGCAAGAAAGAGTTTTGAAAAATTTTTAAAATCCTTAAAGTTTGAAGCAAGATCAGAAAGAACAAATGAACAAACAACAGCATATAGTACAGGAAACAACAACAATAAGTGCACAGTTGATTCCAGTGGTTAGTATTAACATATAAATGCATAGCACATAATATGTTTTAGTACTGAATGAAACAGAAGCATATTAATAATCACATTTCTCAGGATTCTATCTGTTGTCTTGGATTTTTTTTTTTCCGGAGCTCAGCACAATTCATTCTTGAATTACCTTATTCAAGAGGGATGTAATTCTGCTCAAGAATTTGGTCATAATGAGGTATCTTATGCAATAATGTTGCATATTTTTTCTGCCTTTTGTTAGGAGCAGCCTTTGCGTTCAAAGCGCTGATGGCTTCAAATTATGTCTATATTCATTAGGTGTCGGAACAGAGCTAGCGAGTATAAAGATGTACAGATTTTGTGCAATTTTAAGTAGATACCTTCCAAGATGTACTGCATTTGAGACAGACAGAGAAACTTTACTCCCTCAATCACTACAATCATTGTGGAAATGAACTATGTTATATTTGCATATAGTGTGAGAATAGAATTTAAATCCATTTTACCAGAGACATTTCTGTAGCCAAGTATAATTGAATGTGCATATTCAATCGAATAGCGGTTTGGTCGATCAAGATGCATGAAGTATAAATACCCACATAAGCAGATATAAATACAGATGAAACATATATTGTTGCTTTATTCTTTGGCTCTCTGCAGTGCAGTGCTGGTGGTGGTTGAGGAGATTCCCCGCTTTCATGTTAAGTGCTTTGAGTACCCAGAAAAGCTCTATATAAATGTAACTAATTATTAATTATTATTAATCAGACGAAAAGGCTTGTCAAGTTTCATTATAGAAACCCGCTTATCAACATTCATCAAAATAGTTGTACTTTTTAATATTCCGTGTCGTCGTTTTCAATCTTTCCTATTCTCGTCAGCATGAGTCACTCTCACAGACATGCTGTTTTCCTGAACGTCTGTATTGTGATGATACACAAGCTCCTGCTCGTACACACAAACCAAAGTGCATTTTGGGTTATTTTACTCCATTTAGGATGTTAAACCATGCATCTTCTCGGTGGTGGCTGCACCATTTGAACTCAAAATCTGAGCTTTGCAGTCGTGTTTGGGATCTCCTCTGTGTGTAATGGCTTAACGTGACAGCTTGACTTCACTGAGGCTCAGAAAAACCACAGCATGCCTCCAGTATCTCGAGCATTAAAAATGCATTACGTCCTGTGATTTCATGTTTCACTCGTAACAAAAGTACGTCCGTTTTTATTACTAAATAAAAGCAGCAGACTAATGCATTGTTTCTTAGCTGTTCCAAAGGGTAGGCTATATAAATTTTGCAAAAGATGCTGTCAGTGCTGTTTCTCAGTCTACACGCACACACACACAAACAAATAACTGTCTGAATGTTAACAGTAAGGCATTATTTCACATTTCCTTTTAGTTTTACTTGAAGTACAAAAAAATAAAAAAACAATTAAACACACAAAAGAATTACTGAAACTTTAAAATGAAAACGGAAAATATGAAAATAAAATTTAATTAAAATATTAAGAAAAACTATAATAGTAAATCAGTGATATTTCGGAAGTATATATGTAACAGAGACGCTGGAGTTTGGTTAGAATCCATGAGCGGAAGTTTATTAAAAGTCGAGGCTTTAAACAGATGTCGATAATCAGGCAGAGGGTCAAAATCAGAGAAGCAAGCAGATCGTTCGTCATACACCAGGGCAGAAGCAGAGACAATACTGGAGAGGCAGGCAATGAGTCCAAACACGAACATCAGTCCTATCAGGCGTCAGAACAAAAGGGGCAGAGTACAAATACCGTGAGTCAAGAAGTCAGGCAGAATCATACACAGGAAATCAAGCAGGAACAGAGGAAGAATAACACTTGGTAAGACTGGAGCTGACCCCCTCTTCGTCTCGAGTCCAGTAACACATTCACCCTATATGCCAGAGTTCCATCAAAGTCCAGTGGTGGTGGTGGTGGTTCTGGGGCTTCATGGCCAGGGTCAGTTCCCGAGTGGACGGGTTTGAGGAGGGACACATGGAAAGAGGGAGAGATACGATAGTGCTTGGTAGCCGCAACTTGATGTCCTTCATGGAGAGCCAGACCCGTTGTCCTGGTTGGTAGGGAGGGTGTGGGCGACATCGTCTATTGGCTTGGGATTCTTGTGTTCTCACAGCT